AGTCTTAAAAAAATATTTCTTAAAAAAACTTAAAAAAATCAACGAATTTCTCTTAATTCATCATTTAAAAAAAATCGACAAAATCATAGATTTCCCCCAGTTAGTCCTTGTAAATATTTAATAGCAATAATTTTTTAAGATCAATTTTTATGGAATATCCTTAAAAATATTTTTAAAACAATCCAAAATTTTATTCAAAATCCATTTTTTTCTAATTTCTTTGAAATTTCTTGGAAATACCTGATTTTAACTTTAAAACACTTCTATGAAAATCCAAGATTTTCAACATATGATTCTTTGGAATTATTTTTTTTTTTCTTTTTTGAAAAATATTCGTCTTAATTAAATTATTCTGCTCTGTTAGTCCTTAAAACTCACCATTTCGATACAAAAAATATTTTTGTTATAATTGTCCTTGAAAATAATAATTTGAAAATTCCAGGATTTTTTTCTGTTATCCTTGAAGAAAATCTTTTTTGGAAATCCATCATACCATTTTCTAAAATATCTGAATATGTTTCCTAAAAAAAGCCCTGATTATTTATTTAAAAGTCCCTAGAAATGTTTTTTTGGGTAAAAATGTTTTTGTCATAGGAGTTTTTTTAAATAACTTCTGGGGAGAATATCCCAGACAAAAAGCAAGGGAACTGATGAGGATTGGTGGCTCTTTCCGAAACCTAGGTATTCCCTGCCTTACCCCCTGGTAAACATTACCATGGTTCTCCACTAATAAACAAACGTTGTTTTTATAAAAACAACAATAAAGGGATAAAGCCTGACCATTTTGCAACAACATTTGCTGGAAATCAATTATTTTTATTCCAAAGAATCCTTGGAAGAATTACACAAAAAATTCCAAATATCTAACTTTTATAGCCTTCTTTAATTCAAACGAAAAAAATATAAGTTTGTAACACTAAAAGTCCTTCAACCCTTCAGTCTAAAAATATCTACAGGGTTTTCATAGAAATCTTATATTTTCACAATGCCTAGCTTAGACCAAGGATTATAAGTTAACAAAAACTTCAGACTTCTTGAACTTCTTAACCCTTCTGTCAGAAATATTTAAATTTTTTGACAATTTAATCAAGTTTTGTTTTCCTCCACTTCTCTGTCTCTCCATTTCCAACAACTGCGACTTTACAATTCTTCTCAAAATACCCTGGAAAAGTTCATTCCTCTTAAGGGATATTCAAATGTTTATGTGTGTCTGTGTATGCGGGAGGGGGAGGCATTTAATAAAAATTAAAAGAGGATATTTGAAATTCCCAAATATATTCCAAAATTCACATGTCTGGCAAACGCAACGCAGCGCAGCACAGCAATCATATGAAATATTATTATTGTCTGGACTCTTTTCCAAGAAGACAAAGAGAGATAGAGACAAAACCAGAGAGACTGAGAGACTGAGCAAATAATGGCATGGGACTAATCAAACTTAAACAAGGTTGTTAAATAAATTTTTTCTTTATTTTGGTAATTGTAATGCAGAGAAAATAATGTGCCCATCAAACAGGATTTAAAATCAAATAAATCAAAGGATTATTGCTGCAAGTATTTTTGCTGGCATTTTAAACGAATAAAATTTTATGATTATTGCCCGTTTCATTAAGAGATTACATCTTATTAGGTATTCTCGGTTTAATTTGCGAGAGAGACAGAGAGAGAGAGGAAGGGAGAGCGAGAGACTTGTAATTTTAGGATGGTATTTGCAATGAAATTGGGATTTATTTTTGTAAATTAATAAAGAAAATTGTTTAACGAAAATGGTAATTATTTGTGGAATTAAGAGAAAATAGCCAAATCCAAATAATTGTTTATTGTAATATTAAGAAAAATTATTAATTGTAAGTAATCAAAAATTATGAATCCATTGTGAATATGGTGAAATTTTGTAAAAATATTTTTCAATTGAAGAAATTTCCCTAAAATTAAGTTTGATTTGTGATTTGTGTAAGTGATTTGAGCATAAACTTAAAATATAAGAATTTAACACTAAAAAATAAATAAAAATATATATTTTTTAGTAGTAGTTAGAGCGGCAGAAAAAAAAATATTTATGATTTTTCAAAGATTTTAAATATTTTTTATAAAGAAAGGGTTAAAAAATTTCAGAGCGTAAAAAATTGTAATATATAGGGTGAGAGGGAAAAACTGCAACCAATTTCAGACTTCTGTCATTTCCAAGCCACTCGTCCAACAACTGTTTAAATTATTCCAGTGACAGCTCATTATATTTTTACAACCGTACAAAAGCATTTTCCTGAGAATTTTCCAGAAAAAAATTTTCGTCATGGAATTCAAGCGTGATAGGGTGATTTCTTTATATTTGGCTGGTAAACCACAGGTGGCTATCGTTAGAGCACTCCAGCATTTAAATGTGAATAAATCTTTTGTGTCACGTATCATCGCTCGATACCGTGATACTGGTAACATAGCCCGACGTCAAGGAAGTGGACGGAAGAAAACAGCAGCAACATCAGCAGAAATGGTTCGAAAAGTAAAGAACCGACTTGATCGAAACCCAACCGCGTCGCAGTGGCTGAAAAATGGCTCGTGAGCTGAATATATCGCTATATTCCTTTCGGCAAATATTGAAGAATGAGCTCGGGGTAAAGACATTGAAATTCCAAAAAGTACAAGAACTTACACCTCATCAGAAAGAAAGTAGACTCAAAAGAGCTAAAGAGTTGCTTCGCTTGGCCGAAAGTGGTGAACAAACGAATTTGGGTTTCTCCGATGAGAAACATGAAAACATTCGTTGTCCAGCAGTTTGTAAACAAACAAAAGGATCGTGTTTACTTGCCAAAGAGGTCAGCTGAAAATGTGCACCTTCGGTTGGCCACCAGAACTTAAGCGCCGGCCATGGTAATGGTGTGGGCCGCCATAACAGCCGATGGTCGCTCTCCGCTCGTATAAATGGACCGTGGCATCAGAATAAATGGCGAATATTATCGCGAAAATATTCTGGAGGGTGTATTAATGCCTTGGGCAGGTAAACATTTTGACCGCTGACCTTGGACATTCCAACAGGACTCAGCACCATCGCACTCAGCACGCCACTGCCACCCAAGAATGGTTGCAAATTCCAAGCGCACAATGGCCACCAAAATATCCAGATACCAATCCGTTCGACTATTTCGTCTGGAGTATTTTGAAAGGCAAGGTTGGTACTAAAAAATACCAAAGTGCCGATCACCTCAAGCAAGCGCTTCGCCGGGAATAGACCAAAAATAACGCAGAACAGAGAACATTCGGGCATCGTGTGATGGTTTCATTGTCCGTTTGAAGGCCATAATTCGTGCCAAAGGTGACCAATTCGAACAAATCTAAACTTATTCTTAAATTTGATGATATTTCCGACATTTTTTGCTTGCATTCAATAAAATTTGGAAAAAAAAATGTAAAAATAATGGCGTTTGACTTTGCAGTTGCAGTTTTTTTTTTATCTCACCGCGTATTTCCCCGAATCTCGCTGTTATGGAATGAATATTACGGCTGTGGGTAACAAATATAACAAATCGGATGAACATTATATATGGGAGCTATAGCTATATCTTAACCGAGTTCCACCAAATTTGACATACTAGCTTCTAGACTCAATTCGGTCGTAAGTGCCAAATTCCATCCCATTTGGACAAATAATACACGTTTGGTGCACAATAAAAGGTAAATCGGACGAAGTTATACATGGGAGCGATATCCAAATCTGAACCGATCTCGATAAAATTTGGCATACTTATTTTCAGGCCTAATTTGGTTGTATGTGCAAAATTCCATACTATTCGGGCTGATATTACACGTTTGGTGCACAATAAAAGGCAAATCGGACGAAGATATGTATATGGGAGCTATAGCCAATTCTGAACCGATCTCGATAAAATTTGGCAGAGGTATTTCTAAGCTGAATTTGATATATTTCTCTGAATATCGTTGTTGCAGAGTGTATATTACGGCCGTGGAGAAGAAATATCAGAAATCGGATGAACATTATATATGGGAGCTATAGCTATATCTGAACTGTTTTCGATCAAATTTGGCATACTAGCTTCTAGACTCAATTCGGTCGTAAGTGCTGAATTCCAACCCATTTGGACAAATATTAGACGATTGGTGTACAATAAAAGGTAAATCGGACGAAGTTATGTATGGCAGCAATATCTACATTTTGACCGATTATCTCCAATTTCAATGGGGTTCGTACTTGGATCAATCTAATGATTTGTGTAAAATTTCACTTGGATCGGGCAAAAAATGCGACCAGTACTTTGTTTACAAGAATACATGGACAGACAGACGGACGGACATGGATAAATCGACTCAGAATGTGATTATATGCAGATCATCAAAAGGAACTATGGGTCTATCTCATTTCCTTTTCCCTGTTACAAACAAATGACCCTGACCACCTTGTGGTGTAGGGTATAAAAATCCAAAAATGGTTTTCAAAATTTAATGCCTTTACATTCTTGGCTGCAGAAGTTCTTACCAGAGTTTTCCTTAAAAATTTTCAAAATAAGACCATGGACATGCTGTTATTTCAATTTTCCTGATTACAATTTTTTTCAGATTTTCCCTATCATCGCTTTGTGGGGAATAAAACAAAGACGACACAAAAATTTTTCCCTCGAAATTTTTGACTCCCGTCTTTTTTCTGAATTCAATCCTCTTACATTGTTGGCTATAGAAGTTCTTATCGCCGTTTTCTTCAAAGTGGACCGAGGCGGAGTCATTTTCGGTATTTTCTTTAAATTTGTAAATAACAAAAGGAAAAACATTTTCCATTCTCACTCGCCGATAAAACAAAAAAACCTTCAGTTTCTTCCAAATTTAATAGCTTCAAATTATTGACAAAGAAATCCAATTTTTCCCTGAAATTTTTTTTTTAAAACAATTTTCCAAAAATAAATTTTCAAAATATCCTTTTTGATTTCCCTTAAAAATTCCCCAAATTTCAAAAAAAAAAAAAAAAAAGAGATTTTCAAAAATTGTCCACTTACCAATTTGTGGCACATCGTATTGCCTTTGTCCACGCGCTGAGCGCAGCATTAACTGATTGGCCAGGCTGTGGGGTGACGATACAGCTGCTGCGGCAGCGGCAGCGGCTGCCGATGACATGCCAGCTGAACCGCCACCACCTGAACGCTTGTGATTTGGATGTAACAGCTGATCGGGTTTTTGTTGTTCACCAATGGCTGATACTATGTTGTTGTTTGTGGCGGACGAGCTATTGGCTTTTTCGGTTTTATTCTGCTGCTTGTTGTTCTTGTTGTCTGGGTGATTATCCATTTGCGACTCCTTGAATTCATTTAAATGGGGATTAACTTTACTGGTGGCCGTGGCCTCCGAATTGGCCAGCGAGAATTTATGGGTCGACTGGGCGGCCTTAAAATAGTGCGGCTGCTGTTTGTTCTTTTGCCCGAAAATGTTGCGTGGCAATTGTTGTTGCTGTTGCATTTGGGCACGTTTGCGTTGCCATTTCTGTTGCAGGCGTATGTTGTTGGCATATTTGTTGTTGTTGGCGTTGGTGTTGCTGTTTGTGTTGTATTGATGTTGCTGCGAGGTGTGGTGTTTTGGTTGCTGTAGCGGTTGCTGTTGCTGGCCTTTTTCTAAAAATTCCTGCAGGGTATGGGGCAGGGCCTCCATTTGCGGTTCCTGGGCCTGATAGCCATAGGGATTTTGTGCATGATGGACCTGCTGATGATAGCCAGGGAATTGAGGAACATTGTGATGTTGCTGTTGTTGTTGCTGCTGATGTTGGAATCTCTCCTTGTTTTCCTCGGCCATGAGATCCTCCAGATAGGCATAGCCATCTAGATCGGGGAAGGCATCCTCCTCATCGGCCATTTGTTCCAATTCCATGAATTCATCCAAATCCAGATTGTGAGGACTTTCAAAATCCCTCTCTGCCGGTTGTACAACCCGACCATACTCATATTTGGTGGGTCTTCGTAGAGGTTCATAGCTTAGCTCATCCTCATAGTCTTCCTCGTTCATGAGCGGCGGGGCCGGCTGTTTGACCACACTGCCAAACATGACATTGCGGGCCTGTTGATTAAGCCAATTGGAGTATTCGCTGTCCATGTCATCGACGGGATGCATTTTTATGCGGCCGGTTATCACGGGTCGGCCATGGTAACCAGACTCCTCGGCCGTCTGCTTGGCCAGGCCAATGGCCATTAGACGTTCTCTCTCCCTTTGGGCCAAATCGGCCAGCTCCTCATTTAGGCGATTCGAGGAACTTTGAAATGGATTTGAGGAGGGATTTTTTAGCTGTCCCGCTGATGTCAAATGGGGCCCAGAGGAACTGTGGCTGGACATGGCTGCCGAGTTGGGAGAGCCGCCACTACTGCTGCCACCACTGCCTCCGCCTCCACCTCCACTATTCGAACCCGTTAAATGCAGGGCATAGAGGCCGCCATTGACCAGCAGCACACAGACCAGCGTCTGTATCAGTGAGAAAAACATTTTCCTTTTGTTCAGGCTTTTCAAATGGTCACTGATGCTGGGCGGTATTTTTGGAGTAAGTTTGGAGTCTGGCAAATGTTGAAACGTAATCTTGATGGGTTTTGTCTAATCACAAGTTGGAGTAAAGTTTTTGGGGGGTTTTGAGAGGTTTTCTGGAGAGGATTTCCTTCTTTGTTTTTTTGTCTCTCAGGAATCGTTTAACAAATATCCTTGGCCTGGGATTTGTTAAATTCACAATGGATCATTTTTTTGTGGCGGAGGGAAGGGAAAGGGTTTAATTTGCCTTGCCAATACTTTATGCCGTTTGGAACACCTTGTTTGTTTCCTGTTTTAGCTTCGTGCTCCGGCTATTTCCAGGATAATTTGATATTTTGCCAAGAATTGCTGGCTCTGAGAGAGAGAGTGTGCGTTGCCTTCCTTTGACTTGTTTTCTGTTTCGCCGAGTTTTTTTTTTGGCTTTAAGGCTTTTCCACCTTGCTTGGGTGTCTCTTGTGTGTGTCTGCCTGTCCTGACTTGAGGAGCTTAGGTGGCTGGCTGGCTGTCTGTCTGCCTGTCTCTGGCCAGAACTTCACTAAACAAACACCCAGAAGTTTGTTGTTGTTGTTTTTGTTATGTCTTTGCTTTTGGCTTGTTGCTTCCGTTCCGTTTTAACGTTGCTCGGTGGTAAGGGTATAGAGAACTTCTACTTCTTCTTGCCTCCTGCCACTACTGCTGGCTTTAAGTTATATATGTTTTTTTATTCCTGATGTTTATGTTGCAGGTTCTTGTTTTCCGTTCCTTCGTTTGTTCTTCGTCTTTTTTTGGTTTCTTTGTCAGTTTCTGTTTTCTGGGGGTAATCCAGGGGGAGGGTAGTTGGAGGTGTAGAAGAAGTTAGTATAGAAATATGTAAACTGTTTCCTTTTGTTGTTATTATTCGTGTTGTTGTTGTTGTTGTTGAGCAGTCTTCAGTCCGGCCCTCTCTTCTTCCTGTGGCCGTTGGAGTTCTGGCTATTTTGTCTGCCTGGGTTTCTCGGTTCTGACTAGTAGTTCTACCTAGGCTGGTAGAATGATGAGAATGAGTTGCTGTCTAGCAGGTCTAGAGCTAAGCAAAGTACTTTTCTTATGTACAAATATGTTACTATGTATGTGTGTATGTCGGTATGTGTGTAACAAGTATGAGTCTTTGTGTTTTTCCGGGTTCCTGGTTTATTTTTTTCTTCTAATGGCCGGCTATTTTAGTTTTCTTGTTTTTTTTCTTTGCCCACTTCTTGCACTGGTCAATAGCTTTAATAAGCCTTATTTGTGTCTGCTACCGGGTATTCCAGGCCAAAATAAACTGGTTATCCTTTTAGGGCTTCTTGGGGAGTTTTCAAAAAAAAATCCAAAAAAGGCCCTCTTTGAGAATTTTTTTTTTTTTCAAATCAAGCAAGGCCGACGGAATGTTAGATAAAAATTTTTAGTTATTGTTTTTTTTTTTTTATTTCAGCTTTTTTTTTATTTTTAGGTTAAGGAACTTTATTTGTTTTATTGAAAAAAAGCAACTGGTGCTTTAATTATTTTTTCGTTATTTAGAACTGAAACAAGTTTTATTTTCTTTAAGGAAAAACAGAACAACACATTAATTTTTTGGTAACTCAAAACTGAAACTCTTTTCAAAATTTGCACAAAAAATTATTATTTTTTTTTAAATAAATTTAAAATTTTTCCAAAGTATTTTTTCAAAAATTTTCCAAAAGGTCTTATTTTTTGGCCTTTTTTATTTATTTTTTAAATAACTTTTTTTTTGATGCCTTTGACCAGGAACTGTGTTAAGTGTTGGGGCAGATTTTTAAAACTGTAAACACTTGTTTTCGTCTTGGCTTATTTAGGCCAACTTGCTTCCCCGTTATGCCGTGCCGTGCCGTGCCTTTGTTTCTTTTTTAGACTTTACAAAAAGGTGTTGACTTTGCACTTTTTTTTACACTTCTTTCAACTATTTCTCTTTCTTTTTTTTTTAGGTTATCTTACGAATTTTTCCTTTACTTTTTCATTCCTTATTTTTCCACCAAAAAATTGATTTCTTTTTTATTTCGCTCTCACACTTTTCTTATTTATTTGTTTTGTTAAATTATTTATTTTTTTGGTTAAATTCTTTCTTGAGACTCTTTTCTTTTTTTTTTCTTTTGAATAATTTTTAATAACACAACAATTTTGTTGTCCTTCCTATCATATGAACCGACGAGCAAGGACTCGTCGTCTCAGCAGGTTTCGCCTGTTTGTCTACTGTTAGAAATGCTCGCATTCGCTTAAGTGCTGCTACTAATGCTGCTGCTGCGCCTAACACAACTGATATATTAAGTACTTGGCTGGCTGGCTGACTAGCACCCATCCATAATGTTACACTCCAAATGCTGCTGCTCTTAAGCCAGTTGTAGTTGTAACTCTTGTTCTCTTACGAAACAACAACAAACCCCAACTGGTGGGCTATGTAATGGTATTCGTTTGAAATTTCTAAAAACGACAACTTGCTTCGTTCGTTCGTCATTCGTATTCATGCCGTCTGTGCTGATGATGATGACTGAAGAATCAGCAGTCGCTGTAGCAGCAGCAGAGTGCCTGGCTAAATGATGACGATGTTTGGTTCAGGCACAACAAAACCAGCCGCTTTACTTTACTTCAATTCCATTCAGCTCAACCACTTGTTTTGCACATTGCCAACACATTCGAACATTGAATGGAACAACTCTCATTCACTCTTGCCATGCCATGTCATAACGTCACAGCAATTCATAACTCTATGCCACTCTCTTTAGAAAATCTCTTACATTTTTCCCACAACTCTCTTTACACAGATTTGCAGTTCTCCAAAAAAAAAAAAAAAAAAAAAAAAACACAACACAAGACACTTAGACCGCCCGCCGCCCTTTTGTTTGTATTCAACAGCCCATATGTTTTTCTTACGGCAGCTACTCTTTCCAGCAGCACACCAGCCAGTCAGCCTGCCTGCCTTTGCCTTTGCCTGGCTTAGCTAACCGTTATACCCATAGAAAGAAGAAGAAGAAGAAGCAGCAGCACAAGACAAAAATGTGGTCTGGTTTACACACGCATTGTCATAGACCCAGTCTCGCACACACACACACACTCACAGCACCGGCAACACAACATCAGTTACACTGCTACTGTTGTTGTTATTATTTTTGTTGTTATTGCTGTTGGCTTTGCTTGTTCCTTTATGCAAAGTAATGTTTATTTTTAGTTACACAAGTCCTTTATTTATTTCAACAGCAACAAAAACAAAAACCAACTCATTCACTCACTCAGAGGGCACACACAGAAACACACTCTGAACACTCATTCACACACACTTCCAGTCTCTCTCTCACACATTCTCGCTCTCTGTACAAATTCTTACTCAACCATTATCATATGGTTCACAGTACAAGGAGGCAAGTTAAATTTCTCCATGGGAGAAAGGTAGGGATACTCTCTGTCTCTCTCGGAGTGTGTGTTCGTTTGTGTGTGGGTTACAATGGGAAAATAAACAGCATAACATACTTAACGTGTGTTGTTATTATTATTATTATTTTTACATTTTGTTTACAACAATAGAAAATAGCTATTTTTATTGAAAAAAAAAAAAACAAATTAGAATAGCTAATAAAAACACTCATACCCTCAAATGGACGAGAGGTGATATATTTTTGCGTAATTCATGAAATGTATCAATTTCAATGGATTTGTAAATTCTATTTAGATTAAGCCAGGTACCAATTGGGAATTGTCATAGAGTTATGAGAGATTGTATTCCATAAAAATAAGATCTGCAGCAGAGCTACAAAAGGATCACTTGCCTTTATATTAACTGCTGAATGAAAGGAAGACTCATAGTAAAAAAACCAGTAAACATTGTAATACATGAAGAGAGAAAAGAGAAAAAAGTTTACTATTACTGAATGCAGGGATTTATCCAGTGTGGGCCGAAAGGTCAATTTCGAAATGACTACTTTTCAGCCATTATTGTATATTTGACATGAAAAAGTATTTTTTTTTTTTGTTCGAAATAGTTTCGAAATGCATATCTGGGTACGTCCATGATTAAAAAAATCGGAAAATTATTGGAAGACTTGAACAAGAGTTGTTGAAGATCTTCTTCCCTAGGGCCTTTAAACTACCTTAAACGGATAAACGCTGAAAAGTGTTTCTGTGGTTTTCATGGAATAACTTTGCAAGGATCCTTAAAATACTTAAAATCAATCGATACTATACTATGTGGGGCCTATGGCGATAAGGAGAATTATATTTTTTTTTCTTTTTTTTTTTACAGTAAAATATTTTTTCGAAATTTTGTCAGGAACCAGCAAATGCCGAAAAGTAGGATGTAGAATTTCATGGCAAGTATTAAAGACTTACAAAGAGGAATTTTTAACAACTTGTTTGTGACACCCAACAAGAATCTGGCTTACCGCCAGGATTTTTTAAAGAATTTTTAAAGGCACCCTACTGGAATTACCAAGAGATTTTTTAGAATTTTTTAAAGCACTCCATAGGCCCTTACACGGAAATATTTTGAGTTTTCAGAGGCACTTATAATAGCTTTTTAAATACTTTTTTGGGGCATCCATCGTGGGTTTTATAAAGAATTTTCAGGGACACCTCAAAGGCTTTATGGGAATTTTTTAAAGCAATTTTAAATGGAAAATTTTTAAAGATTTTTATTAAATCATTCTCAGAAGCAACTTTAGGCCGTAATACGGGGATTTTTTTAAATAATTTTTAGAGACTTTTTTACCATTTTTAGTGTCGTCCTATAGGTCCTCCCACGGGGATTTTTAAGAGACACCCAATGACATTTTTTTTAAGATTTTTTTTGAAACCCTTAGGTCCTAATTCGGAAATTTTTTCAAAGAATTTTTCTCTCAGACATTACCACAGAGATTATTTTAACAATTTTTAGTGTCGCCCTATAGGTCCTGCCACAGTGATTTTTTAGCGACCCCTAAAATGAGGTTTTTAAAGAATTTTTAGAGGTCCCCTTAGGAGCATTTTTTTTTTTTTTTTTTTTTTTTTGAAAAATGTTTCAGGCAATTTTAAGGCCTTACCACAAGGATTTTTTAAAACGTTAACGGGCACCCAATGAAGTGTTTTTCAAATTTTTCTAGGCCTTTTAAAGACCCTACTACGGGACATTACAGCGAGAACTTTTTTAGAATTGTTAAAGGCCTATTTTTAAGAATTTTCAAAAACTCCCAATACTGCCCAATACTGAGATTTTTTAAGACATTTTATAGACCTCTCAGGCGTTGGAATGGGTTTTTTTTTAACATTTTTCAGTGGCTGGTGCTGCGAAATTTTAGTGGCACTTAAAGTTGGATTTTTTAACGAATTTTTAGAAGCCCCTTAAAGGGCATTTTTTAAAAAAAAATTTTAAGGCAACTTAAAGGATTTTTTAAGACGTTTATATGGGCAATCAATGAAGTTTTTTTTAAGAATTTGTAATGACACCCTACGTTGTTGCTAAATAAGTTTTAAGTTTGATCCTACCCAGGGATTTTCTAAAGAATTTTCAAATATATTTAAAGCATTACCTCAAAGATTTCTTTGAACTGTTAGAGGAACATTTTTTAGGAATTTTTAAAAACTCGTTATGTGGGGTGTTTTTTATTAAATTTTATTGGCAACCTTAGGACCTAATATAGGGATTTTTTATGAATTTGTATAAAGTCTTAGACATTACCAAGGGGATTATTTTAACATTTGTTAGAAGCGTCTTATAAAATTATTTAATAAAATTTTTAGAGACCCCCTTAAGGACATATTTCTTAGAATTGTTTGAGGCAACCTTAAGCCTTTCCACGAGGATTTTTCTTAATTATTTTTAGAGGCACTATATATGTCTCTCAATATAGAGGCATACAACGAATTTTTAGTGGCGCCCAACGTAAACCAATTTGTTTAAGGTAATCTTAGGCCTTACCACGAGGATTTTTTTAAATGATTTTTAGAGGCACTATATATCCCTCAGGGGATTTAAAAAATAGAGGCATATAACGTAGTTTTTTCAACGAAATTTTAGTGGCGCCCAACGTAAACCAATTTTCGATAGACATTTAGTTGGTGTTTTATAAAACTCCGTCTTAATTGCGACTATACAGCAGCAGTGAACTCAAATGACATATTTCAAACTTACTGAATTTTGCTGAATACTATGAATACTATGAATACCTGTTTGTATATTTAGTATCCTTCTAACTTCCGAAAATGCAGGTATACGTTACTCTCACATGAAAACATACTCTAAATTTGGTTTTTATCAGTTCACTAAATACCATAAACAGTATTCGTTACATTTCAGTACCTTTAGTACCCTCTTCGATCGAATTTGGAAAAATGAAGACAGATCTTGTATTCATTTCGATTTTCTAACTTTATCTGTTTGCTTAATAGCGATATCCATCATTTGGTACTATTTAGTACTTTTAGTACCTTTTCAATGGGAATTTGTAAAAAAAATTCCAGAATTTTAGGTTCTCCCATTCGTTAAATGTTGAGGCATCGCATTTTGTACCGTCTAGTACTTTTAGTACCCTTTCGGAAAATGGACTGACCCACATATCAAATATCAGTCATAAATAAGCTTTTTGGTGTAATAATATATTACGATCATGGGCTGGAGGGTATAATTATAACCTCAGCAAAAAATATTGAATTATTACAACAAAGTAATTTTATAATCGGAAAAAATCTTGATCATATTATTATGTTCCATTTTTCTTACTCACATCCAAATACGCACACATCCATACCGTAATCCTTAGTCGGGTGGGGGTGGTAACGATGATGAGTAAAATGCCATATGATAGAATAAGGATTGCACGAATCATAACTATGTTAAGCGAAGGAAGCGAGAGGAGAGGGGGCGAAAGGGTAAAAGGCAGTCATAATAAAACAATGTCATCTAATAAGCCAACCAGCTAGCCAGCTGTTTTTGTTAACGGCATATTAATAGACGGTAAACTAAATTTAGTCCTAATATCGTAAATATTGCAATAGTTAGAGGTATCAATAATAAAATGCCGGAATGTCACCATAATAGCTGGTAATATTTAGAATGACATTAATAATAATAGCTGTGTTGCTGTTATTACCGACGCTTGACATTTATTGGAAAAAATGTTAGAATAATTAAAAAATATATTATGGATCTTTAGGAGGGGGGACTAGAAAAAAATATTGACCCCCTCAAATGTTATTTCATGATTGAAATAAATAATTTCGTGTAATTGATGAATTCGGAGGAAGGTGTTCAAAATTAAAAAAGGGTTATAAATCGATATTAAATTAACTTAACTTATATTGAGGTTAGAAATTAGTAATCAGACCTTGGGCGTTGGGGTTGATATACAGGGTGAGATAAACAACTGCTGCAACTTCAGACTGCTGTCATTGCTAAGTCACTCGTCCGACAGCTGTGAAAATTACTCTAGTGACAGCTCATTATATTGTTTACAAGCGTACAAAAGCATTTTCGTGAGAATTTTCCAGAAAAAAAAGTTATTCGTGATGGAGGAATTCAAGCGGGATAATGTGATAGCCACGAGTGGCTATCGTTAGAGCACTCCAGCATTTAAATGTGAATAAATCTTTTGTGTCTCGTACCATCGCTCGTCACCGTGATACTGGTAGCGTAGCCCGACGTCAGGG